TTAATTTATGTAAATTAGGACACTTTCTGGCCTGTATGGACTCATATTTGAGTGGGCTGCACCTACAAGTATATAAACACATCAAGAAATAATCCTTTAAATAGTACTGACAGTAGTGAAGCTCGATATAAAGTTTGACATATCGAGACCTTGCTCGCAGTGGTCACGTGACCGGGGGGCGCTTGAAACATTTCTTCTGAATCAATTCTAAACTAGACTTAAATATAACATTTTCTTTCCATGTCTTTAAATAAACCTATAAACGGGGGAAACCCTCGGTTTGAGCCGTTATTCTGCTGCATTTAAATACCTTAGTGGTATTGAAACGCCCAGATTATTAGAATTTATTGTGAAGCTCGATACAAAGTGTGACGTATCTAGACCTTGCTCGCAGTGGTCATGTGACCGGGGGGCGCTTGAAACATTTCTCTGCGACACTTCTTCAAAAAGGTTTAACCTGAGTTGAGCAGACTGACTCGAGCCTAGCATCACTACAAGCATTGGGGGAATAGAGGTCATGCAACTTGCCATTGGGGGGTCAGACCCAGCTTTTTTTGCCAATGGGGAAGGGAGCCAAATGGACAATGTTGACGGGTCAAACATGCTTTGGACCAAGTGGTTAGCTTGCCGTGATCGTATAGTGGTTAGTACTCTGCGTTGTGGCCGCAGCAACCCCGGTTCGAATCCGGGTCACGGCATGAACCACTAATGGGAAAGCTTTTGGGGTGGTCCGGTTGGGGTGGGAACTTCTGGCTTCAACTCCACTCCCACACAGAGTTATTTTTGTTACTATGTATTTGTGACAGTGTAATGACAATAAAATTGAATTCTATTCTGCTTGTTTAAAAAACTGTGTTAACCCACTAATTTTAGTGGAAAAGAGGCCCTAGAAGCACTTTCACTAAGTATGAAAGACAAAGGAATACACAAAGCAGGAAGTTTTTTTTGATTTGTCACCTGCTGTCTACTTTAACATCATGTGGCCAGCTTCAGTTTCCTCCCCACCCTTCATTTATTGTCTGATTCTCTTGTTGTTCTGAAAGAGGAAGAGGATTGCAATAAAGTAAAGGCCTCAATAATTGTTAAGATGTGCCATGTGAATAAATATCTGTTATAAATTAATCTGTGGGTGAGTGTTGTGGGTATAGATGTGGCTGTCTATGTATTTTAGGTTTATCTGCATCAAGCAAACTATTCTTAATCAATTCTAAACTAGACTTAAATATAACATTTCTTTCCATGTTTTTAAATAAACCTATAAACGGGGAAAACCCTCAGTTTGAGCCGTGATTCTGCTGCATTTAAATACCTTAGTGGTATTAAAAAGCCCAGATTATTAGCATTTACTGTGAAGCTTGATACTAAGGTTGATTTAACAAGACCTTGCTCGCAGTGGTCACGTGACTGGGGTGCGCTTGAAACATTTCTCTGCAACACTTCTTCTTCAAAAAGGTCGAAGCTGAGTCGAGCAGACTGACTCAACCCTAACATCACCACTAGCAGTGGTGGAATAGAGGTCATGCAGTTTACCATTGGGGGGTCAGACCCAGCTTTTTTTTTGCCAATGGGGAAGGGAGCCAAATCCCAAATGTTATCGGGTCAAACATGCACTGCCGTGATCGTATAGTGGTTAGTACTCTGCGTTGTGGCCGCAGCAACCCCGGTTCGAATCCGGGTCACGGCATGAACCATTAATGTGCAAAGATTTTGGGGTTGTGTGCTTATAATGTTGTGCTTGTTATATACTGTCATTTTAAAAGGGACAAGGCTCAAATTTCAATCTCAATCCATTTCTTTCAAAAGTGGCGGCCTATTTAGGGCATTGCGCTTACATCTCAGAACTTCTGAGCTCAACCCCCGCTCCCACACAGAGTTCATCTTGTTATTCTATACTTGTGACATTGTAATGACAATAACATAGAATTCTATTCTACTTGTTTAAAAAAACTGTGTCAACCCGCTAATTTTAGTGAAAAAGAGGCTCTAGAAGCACTTTCACTTTGGATGAAAGACTGAAAGGAATACACAAAGCAAAAAGTTTATTTTAATTTGTCACTTGCCACCCATCACACCCATCACAGAATTGCTTTTCACATACGCAAATGTTCCTTTAAACAAATTCAAATGAGCTTCTTTATAGTCAGAGGCTTTGAATGACACTGCAATGTGTTGTCAGGATTCCTAAAGAGAACACTGGTAGAACCTTTGCATTAGAATAAACAAAAAATATTTTTTTACTATGCATCAGAGACAAGCAACCATATATGAGCTAAAACTCATAAAAAAACACTTTGATTAGTCTGGTGATTTGATCAAGCTTTGGCTAATGGCTCAAAAAGGTAACCAAATAATAATCATAATAGTCAGAGGGGATACTTTATCCGTTATTTGATAAACTATCTGCAAAAAGGTTTACTGGTTTTGCTGGAAAAAAGTTTACTATAGTAAACAAGTACTTGTCATAGTTTTTANGAATTCTATTCTACTTGTTTAAAAAAAACTGTGTCAACCCGCTAATTTTAGTGAAAAAGAGGCACTAGAAGCATTTTCACTTTGGATGAAAGACTGAAAAGAATACAAAAAGCAAAAAGTTTATTTTAATTTGTCACTTGCCGTCTACTTTAACATCATGTGGCCAGCTTAAGCCTCCTTCCCACCCATCACACCCATCACAGAATTGCTTTTCACATACGCAAATGTTCCTTTAAACAAATTCAAATGAGCTTCTTTATAGTCAGAGGCTTTGAATGACACTGAAATGTGTTGCCAGGATTCCTAAAGAGAACACTGGTAGAACCTTTGCATTAGAATAAACAAAAAATATTTTTTTACTATGCATCAGAGACAAGCAACCATATATGAGCTAAAACTCATAAAAAAACACTTTGATTAGTCTGGTGATTTGATCAAGCTTTGGCTAATGGCTCAAAAAGGTAACCAAATAATAATCATAATAGTCAGAGGGGATACTTTATCCGTTATTTGATAAACTATCTGCAAAAAGGTTTACTGGTTTTGCTGGAAAAAAGTTTACTATAGTAAACAAGTACTTGTCATAGTTTTTAAAATGCCAGAGACATGAAAACGTTCTGAATATTTTATGCATTCAAATTTATATCCAGCAATACGAAAAAAAATATTCAAGTATCACTGAGACAAGTGCAACTTTAATATTTTGTGGCGAGTTTTCTCCTTTACTTTCTCCTCTGTCTTTACATCTCTTGTCATAACCCACCTTTATGCTTTGGCTTTTGACAGTGGGCTTTATTTTACTTTATCCTTTTGTCCCTTTTATCTTTTACCCAATTTTATTGATTTGATTGTGTGAATGTTACTTTTAACTATGTTTTAGCTGTTTTGTTTTTATCTGCACTGTTTTATATTTGATCTATTTATTTTTTCTGTACAGCACTTTCTTCTTCTTGTTGGATTTATTGGCAACAAACATTTAGTAGCATTACCGCTACTTACTGGTATGGAGTGTGGTTCGTGATGGACTATCTACTAATAAACATATTTATAATTTCTAAGAAAAAAAAGAAAACAAAAACTACATACAGTACTTAAACATAACTTTGTATTCTACCCGTCTATGTCATACACACATTCACCCTCTCTATAATCAAATTCTGTGAAATAATTTAGTTTTCTTTAAAAATATCGAATATATA